TTATTTTGGAAGGAGAATGGAGTTTGATTCCCTCCTCCCACTACTTCCATGTTTGGATCTAGAAAGTTGGGAGGAGGAGAGGAAGAGTCAACAGAAACCAAAATTCTTGGTTGGCATCCATCTGTCTTGGGAGACAATGGAGGATTACACCTTTGGAGATGAAGTCAAAGGTTGCTGTGCCTGTAGAGATTGATGTGGGAGAGACATGTTTTGTTGCAGCTGGGGCAAATGAAGGTGCTGCTGCAGATGCACCATGGAAATTCTTCCATCTTGTGTTCCTCCCAGCGGTCATTCCTCTATAACTGCTCACTGCTATAGATACACAGCTTGACTGTTTTCAAGCCCTGCGGTTGTCTGCAAGGGATTCTCACATGGCGGGGTTGATATTGCCAGCCTTCATGTCATGTTTGCAGGCATCTTTGTATCACGGAGTTGTTCTACCAATGGGCCTGGTGTTCCCTGTGGAGCATTTCCTTGGAGATCCTGCCATCTTCGATTCTGTGAACATTACCAAGCCAGTGTAGATGTCGCTGAAACAAAAGAGTGTGAACATGTTGGGAATGTGGGCTTGGGAGAGCATATCTTTTTTTTTTTTTTTTTGAAATTCTTCCCTGCCATGTGATTCCCAAAATCCTCCTGATGCATGTGGAAGGTGTTGAGGTGTTGCTACCAGACTACCAGTGAGATTCATAGCTGAGTGGGGATTTAACCCTGGGCTCCCAGGTCCTAGTTTGACACTTTAACCAGTACACCACACTAGGGGTACCCTAAGTCATCCTAAAGCTGGGGCCCTTCAGATGTTTTTGCATTTACTACTGCACTGCATCTTGGTGAAAGGAGAGTGGGACTGCTTTGTTGCTGCAGATGTGATTTGGAATGTAGGTCCCTCGGTTGTTCAACAACTGATGAATGCTTCTAACCTTCCAGATGATAAACTCTTGAGCCCCCAACGGGGCAGCTATAACCTTAGTCTCATGCCTGATAATTACACATTTTTGCCTCTTAATAAGCTGTTGTATGTGATGAGCAACTCATGATTTAACAGCACACTGGATGCATTTTTAAAGCACTTCTTAATAGCCCTATAAGGATCCCTCTTTGCCTGTGCCAGTCTTGAATGGAATTTTGCAGCCTGGCATTGCAGAATGAGCTATTGTTCTCCAAGTGCATGGGCAGGTGTGAAATGGAGAGCCACATCCTGGGCATTTCTGAAAACTAGTCCAACCAGGTTGCTGTGCCAGAGGGTTCTATCCAGGTAAAACCACAAGAGGAGGAAGGAAGGAAGCCTTGTGTTAGGGAAATACTCCTGAGGTGAGGGTCCCAAGAAAATCCTGCTGCAAAGAGTAAGGGAAAATGTATTTCATGTTGTGACACTATATTCCTTGCCAGGAAACTGCTGCAGGTTTGTGGTATCTGCTTTATAAAGAGGCAGTTCTGCAGTTGTAGAAATTCCTGGTGAAAATTACCACTTTCACAGAATTCCTGACAGATTTAGGCTCTGATACCGGCAGGCAGTGTATTGTGACAAGGAATTGTTTTGAGATCTTTGAAGATACACTTATAAATACTTGCTCACCTACGATAAGACTCTTGTGGACTCTTTTGTGGACTTGATTCCAGGGCTACTTCAAGTATTGAGACCAACCTGCTGAACACCTTTTATAAAACTGCATTTGACACCTGGAGGCTTTAGGACAGTACGAAGTACTCACCATCCTACTATCTCGGGCGTCTCATGCAAATTGAGAAAATCTGCGTTAATGTACTTCATATCTGTGTGGTTCATGCAGTTTGCAGATGAATTGCCCTAGCAGCCTTCTATGGAGGGCCATTTTACTTTTTCCCCCAGGTGTAGGAGTTTAGTGGGGATTTCCTGGAAGACACTCAGAAAAGTATTGAAGATTATGGAAAAGTGAGGGGAATGGAATCAGGGCAGGATGGTCTAGGAACCCAGGGCATGTATTTAGAAAGCCTGGCCACAAAAATTCTCTGTTTTCAGTTGTGCATGGTTTTTTATCAGCAAAAAAACCAACAACTTACATTCTCAGATTTTTCTCTGAATCCCATGTGGGTTAGAAACTTGCTTTGTAGGCTGAGAGCATAAAGAACCTGCCAACTTCCTAAAGAGACTGCATACTTCCTGCTCCACTATACTGATATGGCCTTGGAGATTTCCAGACCCCTTAATCATGGACACCAGCAAATACCTATTTTGCATCTTCTGTTATGGATTAAAATTCTTTTTATTGCCACCATGTAGCTAACTGTACAGTGAATGGAATAGGTGTCTTCAGCTTCAATTCCTAAAGTTTTAAAGTAAAAATCCACTGGCAGAAATACCTGTTCTGTCTTGTTTATTAGATGCCTTAATTTTAGTCAACTGCATGAATTCCTTTTAGGCAAAAGGATTGGCTGAGACAGAATTTGCCAACCTGGTGCCCTCCAGATGTTTTGGAACATCTGGACGGTGGCAGGTTGGCAAGGGCTGGGTTGATTCCCCTTCCTTCACTTTCTCATCAAGGGAGAATTCAGAGATTCTGACTGGGTTGTTCTTTTTTTTTTTATGTATGAGCGTGAGTTTCAGTAAATTGAAGCTGAAAGAAGGGAGAATCTCCTTCTACATCCTTGCTCCATTCTTCCTCCGCTTCTGACCAATCCCACCAGGATGTCTCCATGGGGCTCTTGGCAACCACCCCTAGCTCGGCAGTTGTAGTCCAAAACATCTGGAGGGTATCAGGTTGGGGAAGGCTGGCATAAGTGTACAAAGATGGGTCCCTGGCTCCAAGGAGCTGTTTGAACCCTAATGTCAACGGTGGGAGAGGATGCAAACACTGAGAAGTTTAATTTACTCATCAGAAGTTTAATTTACTCCCTGTGCCAAAGCCCATGCATCTGACAAATGTCTGAATTATCTCTTGATTGTGAAAAGAAAATCTGGGGTGTCCGTGGTTCTTCCAAGTTAATTAATGCCTGATACAAGCATGTCACCTTTGTGCATTAAAAAACAGAACAAAACAGGTTACTCCCCCATCCTACCCCAAAATTTCTTTCTTTCTTTTACCATTGACTTGCAGGTTAGCTCTTGCTCGCTGCTGGCCTCCATCTGGGTGTAGATTCTGAACAAGCTAGTACAAGCTGTTCGTGCTGAAGGGCATGGCAGAGCCTGGGAAAAGGAGCCATTTTTAAGTGAATGAGAGGGATGCCAAAGCCAGCCCTTCCATCTCCCTTCTCCCCCCTGCCCCTGAAAATAGTCTTTGATGTAGCCCAAATTCCAGCGGCTTCTGTGATAGTTGGCAGAGGATTGCAGAGTACAAGATGACAACAAAAGGCTTTTGGAAGCTGTTGCACTTGGATGCAAAATTAGGGCTTCTGTGTCATCTCAAGAAAGGGGGGGAAAGCCCTCCTTTCCTGCCTCCCTTGCTTGTGGTGGGTGTTGGAGAAAGGGGGCAGTTGCAGGCCCAGAAGCTTTTCTGTGTCTTTCTAAAGTTCAGGCTCAGGAGCAGTTGCATAGATTATAATGTTTTAGATTACGTGTATTTTGGGTTTTAGTTTACACACCCACGGCTTCTGTTGTTTGTCTTGAGATTATTATTATTTTAATCCAGTAACAAAAATTTACAAAACAACTAATAAAAAAACAAGCCTATCTCCGAGGCACGTGAACAGAAGTGTCCTTGGAAGGTCTTACCTTCGTGTTATGTTGTATTGATCATTAGCATTTGCAGATTACTGAAGTGTCTCTCCAATACCTGAGAAAGATGAAAAGAAAGCATAGATGGAGACCAAGGTCCCCTGTATGTTGACCCTTTCTGCATATTTTGATATCACAGTTGTATTCATCTGGAATTTTTTAAATGTGCAAAATCTTTACCAACCCTTTGTAAGGGCACTCATTTTGAAAGTGTCATGTTTTAAATCTTTGAAAAAAGCAGAGTTTGGCTCGGATTGTATTCATTATGCTCTTAAGTCGTTTTGCAAAACAACACATTTTTTTGAGAAATGCAAAACATTTCTGTGGAAAAATGCAGAAGCCCCGCATCATCACTACTAATAACACCAATACAGTGGTACCTCGGGTTAAGTACTTAATTAGTTCTGGAGGTCCATTCTTAACCTGAAACTGTTCTTAACCTGAAGCACCACTTTAGCTAATGGGGCGTTCTGCTGCCGCCGCACCACCGGAACATGATTTCTGTTCTCATCCTGAAGCAAAGTTCTTAACCTGAGGTACAATTTCTGGGTTAGTGGAGTCTGTAACCTGAAGCGCATGTAACCTGAGGTACCACTGTATCTTTCAAGGATGTGTTCACACTGAGCGATATCTCTGTGTGACTCTGCAATAACGGGGTGGGTGAACAGGCTCATTCACTAATGCATTAATCCCCAAATAAGCAGTGATTTAAACCCAAATAAATGGACTTCATCATTTCCTAGATCTGTGGTTCCTAATGTGACCCCCGTGGTCATCCCAATGCCCTCAAGAGCTTGTTACCTGCCAAGGGCCCCTGCTGCACCTCAATTTTTATTTCTAAAATTGAGTGAGTGTTTTGCATGTTAGATTGGAAATGTTGTTTTGGAGGTGGGGAGGGGCCTGCTCCCCCCCCCCCCGTGTTTTATTTGTAATATGTATATGAATGGTTTTGCCTGGTTTTTCTTTTTCTTTGGTGGTGGTGGTGGGAGGTCTGAGCATTTCCCATTTCTTTTCTGTGAAATGGGTACTTTGTTGTGCTCACAAATGTTTCTTCGATGTCAAAATGTGCTCCTGGCCCCTAAAATGTTGGGGAGCCCTGCCCTAGATGAATGGAAGTGCCCCATGGGTACCACTGAAGCAACGACATTGAATAAATTATCTCTGCAGTTGCACTAATTGGGGCTTTCTTCCTAAGATACTGTAGAGAATGTCATCCATAAAATTGTCACTCATCTCCATTTCTGTTCCTTATTTTTAACAACTTCTAAGTTGGGGTATTATGGCTCTGACTGTGCAATCTTTTTAACAGGAAGAAGATTACGAGGGAAAGCCTTCTACAACGTCAATGGAAAAGTCTACTGTGAAGAAGACTTCCTAGTAAGTAAGATTTTAGGGCTTTCTGTGTCTTTTTTGGCAGTGGGGGAGCAGGGGAGGGAAATGACAAAATATGGCAGCCCTCAGCTCAGACATCTGTGGTTAGGAGGGTGGGTGCCAGTCATAACAAAAGGGGAGGCCTGTGAAACTTCCATTTGTCCGTCATCACTGTGATCCCCAACAGTGGGGAGCTTAGCACAAGCAAAGGAAACTTTGCAGATTGACAGATGAGTAACCGTTTTATTTAAGTAGCAATTATGGTGTATACAGAAAAGCAAACAATAATGACAAGGATTCCAGAATCTCGAGAGTAGGCTGCTCTCAGCGATGATGCAACATCCCCACATCTGCCATCCTGACCTTGGTCCAACAACCTCTCCCTTGGAATGTCTTCTCCCTCCATTTCATTCTGGGTTTCTGCATTTTGGGGGCCCCAGGGCACTATACCGCCTATGCAAGATGAGAGGCGGGCAGATTATTCTCCTAAGGCTGCACCTGATCTTCTTGAATACTATTTTGCAAAGTGGGAATGGGAGAGCAGTGGGGCCTCTGCTGGTCTTGGGGGGCCCTAGGAAATGCCCAGCCTCGCCACCCTCTGACACCAGCCGTATTCTCTTTGTAGACCACATGATTAGTGAATATTATCTTTCTCCTGTCGCAGAACATGGGCTGAATCAACTGCATGGTAAATAAGACCAATCACCTTTTAGGAGATGTGTGTTGTACAACCATTAATGGATTTTGTGTTTATAATAATTGCGGCTGCTCTTTTGGACTGAATTGTGCTTGTGTCCCTTGTAACTCTTGGCCTTCTGGTGGATTATTAATGCAGAAACAAACAGATAACTTGGAGCACAAAGATTGTTTGTCTTGCTTCTTGGCTTTGGCATCTGCAAACAGTCTATGACTGCATGTCACCCTCATCCTGCTTCCAGCTTTGGGATGGGAATGGGTGATGGCTGTATTAGGGTGCTGCAAAGGTGTTTGAGATATCAGGTGGGCAGTGAAGAGCAGGCCGATGGAAAACAAGCCATGCTTTGCTAAAAGAAACTGCTGTTTCGTTGAATGTGGAACAAGTCATTAGCTTAGTGTTACATATGAACGTGGCTGCTATTGCCTGTTGTGGCTGCTTAGGCAGTTGGACCAGGCCTGGCATTCAGCAAGGGAACCATTCTTTCATTAGAGAGGGAAAAGAATCCCATCTGCCTTTTGCTCTCATAAATAATCCCAACTAGACATTCTTCCTCCATTTTGTCGATAAATTGCAGCATAATTAGAGGCAAAGGAAATATGGCTTGCTATTTTTAATCAGGAACAACTTGGGTGCTCTCCACCCACTTGCCTTTAAATACCAGGTTAAAGAAAAGCCAAATAACTCACTGTTGATACTGGCAAAAGATTGAGGAGATGTTTTCCACACTGCACTGAAGCAGACAGAGTGTCTGGCAGTGAGGTCCATGGCAGGAGCTGGAGGACTAGAGCTCATTACCAGGCTTTCATGATGCTAGGAATAAAAGCTGCATCTCATTTACATTTTAAGTTGTCAGTACAGTCTGAGAGATGTAGTCAGCCAATTATAAGTTGGACTTGGAAGCTGTGAGATTGGAAATATCTGCAGAATTGGAGCTTCAATAAACTCTCTTGCCATTGGTCCATCACAAGTGGGACCTGCAACAGAATGTTGCAGCATGGACTTCAGGGTGCCAGCTGCGTCCCTTTCCAGGCCACTCCCATTCCCCACCCAATGGTGGGTGTCTCATTGTTTTTTCCCCTCTCCTAAAGTTGTATGTCTGGCAAAATTGGAGTTCCCCAAAGCCTATTGATACATTCCCTTCTTCTGTATATTTTGGCTGCCTGTGGATCAGCAGTTGGTGAACTGAGTTCTCTGTTACTATGTAGATTGTTCTGTAGTATGCTTTGGTATCCTTGGAGTCTCATATATTGCAGTACTTTGTTTTTAAGCAGCTTTCTTAACAGTTTTCTTCATGGTTCTAGAGAAGAGTCAGGAAATACCTGGGGCCACATTGGTTGAAGTCTCAAAAACGAAACAATATTTTTTTGGCATGGCTTCAGGTAGTGTTAAGTAGCTCATGAGTAGGACCTGGGAAACCAGGGTTCAAATTCCCCTCCAGCTGTGAAGCCCACTGGGTCACTTTGGGCCAGCCACTATATCTTAACCTAACCTGCCTCACAGGGTTGTTGTTGTGAGGATAAAATGGAGAGAGGGAGAAGTGTGTTTGCTGCCTAGAGATCTTTGGAGAAAAGATGGGATACCGGTGCAATATTAATAAAGTAAATATATCCCTGTCCAGGAAGTATAAGAAGTGCAGCAAAATTCAACAAGCAGCGTCCACTCCAGCGCTTGGAGGAAGTATGCTAGTATGCTAACATCCCTCTTTGGCTTTTTGTAAGTCACATCCCAGCTGTGCCGGATTCAGTGTGCTTGGTGGCTGTGCAGCCCACATTGTCTACTTTTTCATAGAGCTGTCATTTGATGGCAAAATACACACCTGACCACCAGACAACTTTTTTGAAATGGACCAGAGAATAGACAGGCCCCCCCCCCGTCCTAAATAAAAGGCTCAAATCTAAACTTAGCCACCTCTTCCTTGCATCATCCTGTTTTGGATGAGCCTCCACAGCACACCTGTCTCTTTCTCCCAACCTCCATAAGAAACAGCCCTTTTTAAACCTTAAGTGCTGTGTGGTTTCTTTAGAGCCTGATCTTTCTTATGCCACTTCTTGCCTAAGTACCCTTTGGCCTCCTGCCCTTTTCCTCAACACAAGTCCACTCCTTGCTCTGTGTCCTCCTTGCAGGCCCGTGCAGAGCTTGTCTGAGGCCTGGGTCTTGTTAGAATAAAGTTATAAACTCAAAACAAAAAAGCAGCTGGCCCCTTTGGGCCACCTTCTCCCAGCCATCTTAGCCTTCTGAGGCTCGGGGCAAGTGTACTTGGATTCTCACCCCACCCCCACCCCACAGGCCTGCCCCCTTGTCTCAGGGGCCTGCTGCGTCTTGGCATCTCTACATCATGGGAGCAATTCCTGGTCTTAGCCTGCCCTTGTGTGAGGTTTTAGCCGCAGTCAAACTGGCAACTTTCCCTTCCCTCACAGAAGTCGGACTGCAAAACACTTAGCTTCATAAGCAACTGAACAATTCATGCCATCCATCCAGCTCAGTGTCAGTCTTCATCGTAAGAACACTTATAGCTAAATTCCACACCAGCAGTTCGCTACTTTCCTGGCTCCTCCGTGTGATGTCAATTCTCTTATAGTTATATTAGGAGTTATGGTAAGGAGCTACAGGCAAATAGCAGCCACACCCCTCTTAACATCATCATCATCATCATCATTAATCAGTTGTTTCAAGACAATAAATATATCAAAAGCAATTAAAATCCAGAAAGGTAGCTGATGCATTTAAAACAATACAAAACACAAACTCATGCGAAAACCTCTACTCTTCATTCTTACATACGTCAACATTCCTTTTAAAGTTCTAGTGGATGCAGGAAAGAACATGCTTGTTGAGGTTGCGGCTTTCTGAATATACAGTGCACAGATCAGGTCCAACTTTACCTGTTGGCCACAGAAATACGTAATTCAACATTATGTTAAATGCTGTTGGGTGACAGAGAAAAAGCGGAACTACTCAACACCTTCTCTGTCTTCACCCAAAAGGAAAGTGATGCCCAGTCTCAGGCTTCCTCAAACTCGGCCCTCCAGATGTTTTTGGCCTACTACTCCCATGATCCCTAGCTAGCAGGACCAGTGGTCAGGGATGATGGGAATTGTAGTCTCAAAACATCTGGAGGGCCAAGTTTGAGGAAGCCTGCCCAACCTGGTGATAACAGAATAAATGACGTAAGGTGGGAGCTGCAGCCCAAGATAGGAAAAGAGGTAGTAAGGGAACACCTAGCTACTTTAAATGGATTCAAATCTCCAGGGCCTGATGAGCAGCATCCAAGGGTACTAAAGGAGCTTGTGGGTGTAATTTCAGAGCCTTTGTCTATTATCTTTGAGAATTCTTGGAGAACAGGTGAGGTCCCTACAGATTGGAGGTGGACAAATGTTGTCCCCATCTCCCAAAAAGGGAAAAAGGAAGACCCAGGTAACTACTGACCAGTGAGCTTGACATTGATACCAGGGAAGGTCCTAGAACAGATAATTCAACTGTCGGTCTGTGAGCATTTAGCAAATGATGCTGTGATTACTAAAACCCAGCATAGGTTTCTCAAAAATAAGTCATGCCAGACCAATCTGATTTCTTTTTTTAATGGAATTACAAACTTGGTGGTTCAGGGAAATGCTGTGGACATAGTGTATCTTGACAAAGTCCCCCATGATATTCTCACAAGGATGCTGGTAAAATGTGGGTTGAACAAGGTAAATGTCAAGTGGATTTGTAGCTGGTTGACTGACGGAGCCCAAAGAGAACTCATTAATGGTTCCTCGTCATTCTGGGGAAAAATGACAAGTGGGGTGCTTCAGGATTCTGTCCTGGGCCTGTTGTTGTTTAACGTCTTTATAAATGACTTGGAGGAAGGAATTGATGGGATGCTTATCAAATTTACAGATGACACCAAACTGGGAGGGGTAGCTAATGCTACAGAAGACAGAATCAGAATTCAAAATGACCTTAACAGATTGAAGAACTGGGCACAAGCTAACAAAATGAATTTCAATAGGGACAAATGTAAGGTTCTGCACTTAGGCAGGAAGAACCAGATGCACAAATTAGGATGGGGGACACCTGGCTTACTAGCAGTACATGTGAAAAGGATCTAGGGGTCTTGGTGGGCCACAAGCTTAACATGAGTCAACAGTGTGATGCAGCAGCAAAAAAAGCTAATGCTATTCTAGGCTGCATCAACAGAAGTACAGTGGTACCTTGGGTTAAATACTTAATTCGTTCCGGAGGTCCGTTCTTAACCTGAAACTGTTCTTAACCTGGAGCACCACTTTAGCTAATGGGGCCTCCTGCTGCTGCCACGCCGCCAGAGCAT